TCCGCGCATGCCTGGCCGGCGTCGCCGGCTGCGTCGACGTCGACGAGCTGCGCCGCCTCGTCTGGGCGCACGGCATGCCGCACGTCGCCTGGGCGAGGCCCATGGCCTGGAAGCTCCTCGTCGAGTACCTCCCCCCGGATAGGGCCTTCTGGGAGCGCGTGCTCAGCGCCCGCCGCGCCGCCTTCTGGGCCCTCGTTGCAGACGTCACAGTTAACCCCACGAACGCCCCGCTGTGTGAGGGAGATCACCCGCTGAGTGAGAAGAATGATAGCCAGTGGAGGGAGTACTTTGAGGACGCGGATTTGCGCCTCGTCATTCGGAAGGATGTCATGAGGACCCATCCGGACTTGCATCGCATGGCGAGGCTGTACGAGAGCCTTGAGAGGATCCTGTTTGTGTACGCAAAAGTCCACCCGGAGTTCAAGTACCGCCAAGGCATGAACGAGCTGGCGGCCCCGTTCCTACTCGTGTTCAGCGAGGACCGCAGGGCGGATTTGTCGGACGTGGAGGCCGACGCCTATTTCTGCTTCGATATCGTCATGACCGAGGTCAAGCGGTGCTACGCCGTGGTCGAGACGGACACGGACGGCATCGAGCGCCAGCTGCGCGAGTTCCGCGCCCTGTTCCGCATCAAGGACCCCGAGCTGGAGCGCCACTTCGAGGACCTCAAGATCGAGACTCGCTTCTACGCCCTGCGCTGGCTCCGCCTCTGGCTCGCGCGCGAGTTCGCCATGCCGGACTTGCTCCAGCTGTGGGATTCGTTCCTCACGTCCGAGCAGAGGCTCGGATGGGTCAGGTACGTGTGCGTCGCCATGCTCATCCGCATTCGCGAGGCGCTGCTCGCAGCCGATTTCGTCGAGTGTATCAAGCTGTTGCTGCATTATCCGCCCTGCGACGTCGCAGAGATTTTGAGAACCGCCGACCGCTTGCGCACGTCCAACGTCGTCATTGTAAGGAAGGCCAAGAGGCAAGGGCAAGGTGGATTGTAAAGTTTTGGTAGTTTGTAGTCGATAGTCGTTAGTCGATAGTCGGTAGTCGATAGTCGGTAGTACGGTAGTAGAGACAGGCGGCAGCTGGCACTCTCGATGAATGTGTGTACAGGAAGGAGGGATGGCCCACTCCGGGGCGACATGTAATAAAATTTATTCAAACTTGTTTTCGTTTTCATTTCCTTTGGTGTTGCAATCCATGGTCTCCCTCATCCACTAACAGCGAAGTCAACCTCCGACACACAGGCCCGATCGCTCCCAACCCCCAACCTGCACGAAAAGCGCCACGCGCTTCTACGAGTCGTCGTGCCGCCACGCCATGGCGTCTGCAATCCGCTCGCTGGTCGCCGAGGCTCGCTGGCGTGGCCTGTGGGGCACCGTCCGCGCCATCAAGATGAACAAGATGGGAACCATGTCCTGCTACGGTACGTCCTCCCTGTCCGCCACCCCTACCCCTCCCCCATCTCTTCCGCCGCCAGACTCTAACGGCAGACGCGCCGCGTTGTGTGCGCGAATGGGAATTTACGCAGTCGGCGAGGACACGTTTCAAAACCGCTACTTCGAGGACAGGACCGAGACGTACGGTCGTGATCGCTGGGTCGAGTACGTCGACGAGCGCAACCCGGACAGCCTCAAGGTCGAGCCGGAGTGGCATGCCTGGCTTCATCACAACACCGACGACGCTCCGTCGCAACACCCGCTGCCGAGGCCGGTGTATGAAAAGCCGAGTAGCGGCAACCCCACGGGCACCCGCGACGCGTATGTGCCGCCGCACCACCGCCTGTCGAAGAAATTCGACGGGAATGCATCGGAAAAGTACGAGACTTGGGCACCGCAAGGGCGGAAAAAGGCGGAGGGCGGAAAGCCGGATAGTGAGGATAAGGTGCTCGACTTAAAGTGAGCCGTGGGAAGTAGGATTTTTGCTGCAGCTTGCGTTTTGTTGCTTGCGTCGGAGAGGACAACGGCAGTGGCTGGTGCGCGGTTGGAAGGGCTGAGCTGGGATTGATGATGCTTTGCGCGAAGATTCTGCGGGTACGGAATCAGTAATCTGAGCGCGACGCTGGTGCTGACTTTGTCCGTGATGAGGACTAATCAGGTGTCAATTTTGTTTGCTTTAAGCAGCGCCATGTTTACCATAATACATGCTTCACTTCTTCTACCACCAATTCCCGTCGGGCATTTGCGTTGCTCGCATCTTGGGCGTCTTTTAGCAGACAAAGAATTGATGTTGGACGACGTCGTCCTGCGATGCAAAGACTAAAAGGTTAGTTTTGCTCATGCGCCTCTGCTTCCACCCGTTCCTTTAACGCGTCATTCAAGCCCTTGTAGCTTGCCTCGAGCGTTTCCTTTCCAAGAATTCTAGTTACGAAAGGTCCTAGAATGCCCGACCAATCTTCCCCATGTGTAAACACACAACCGGTCTCCGTCTCCTCGATTGTGAAATAATGCTCGCCTCTACAAACGAAGGCCGCCAGGAAAATGCCAGCCCACCGCAACTCCTTGTTGATATCGTTGACCAGTATCGTTGGCTTGAATGTCATCGGCGCTCGAGTGCCGATCTTCACGTCTGCTTCGATTGTTTCCCCAACAGATGGCGTGCCGGATATTTGAAGAACCATCGGGTTCCACTCCTTGTATGCGGGGAAATCCATAAGTACTTGATACACAGCGGATGGCGGTGCGTTGATGTTGGTTTTGACTAGGATGCTTGCCATAGTGGGAATGTACCCTTCGAAGGGTAGTATGCTCAAGCAGTGGTGCACAATGGAACGCGTCCCGTCGTTATACTTTTGCCGCAAATCGGAAACGGTTTGGTCTCTAGGATGAACGGTTTGCGAGTGCGGAGAAAACGTTGCTTTGCGTCGTAGCTAATCACGAAAAGGGGATGCTTCAATCACAAATTGTGTTGTACCAAGGGTACTGCGAGTTGCGAATTGAGGATGCTCTCTTAAAGGAGGCCCTCAAGGACAACGTGGATACATACAGCGCATGGCAGCACATGGGGGTTGACTTTAAAAAAACTTGGCATCGAATAAATTATTTGTATGACTGCTTCGTCAATAAAACATGCATCGCACTTTCTGTACACTCTCAAGCAAACTACTGGTAGCTGAAGATGGTTCCCAGCTCTCCACCAGCTTGGTCGTCACATTCCCGCAACCTTGCCCATCCCAGTTCGCATCGGTAGCATGACGACCCCCAACACCTCTTATCATCTCGGCGTGGCAGTAGGATGTCCCCATGGGATACTTTCCCGCCGTTCAAACCCGTGAACAAAATCAGTCGATATATGGGCGTCATCGTCCACAGATTTCAAAGCCGCGTTCGCCAGCCGCCGTCTCCGTCGCGTTCGTACGCAGCACGCGCACACCAGAATAAGCGCCACTGAACAAACGACAGCAGCCGTAGCGACCCCGGCCATAGACATGCCGCCCATACGCTCCGTGACACCGCCATCAGTCTCCAACGAAGAAAAAGATGGGTCCGCGTCCGCGGAAGACTCCGGTAGAGGCTCTTCTGACGGTGATGGTGGTATGGGTGTCTCAACTATTGGCATTGGGCTTGGGGAAGGGAAGAACGGCGGTGTGCCGACGTCCATCCCTTCGAGGTCCGTTTCCGGGTCTGTGCTTGTCGATCCCACATTGTCGACGGTTATCATGGTTGGTTGCGCAGCGCTGCCTGAGACCGATGTTGACTCCCCAGGGTCGGTGTCACCCTGACTGGCAACTGGACCGATGGCATCTGCGAGAATTTCTGGCACCGAAGCGCGAGAAGCAGACGCCAAGATTGGCGTGCCGGCCGCTGCGAAAAGGAGTGAGAGAAAGATAAATGCAGCGCATGCCAGTTGAAGGTGGCACTTTGGTCGACGGCCACACGCGCGCGCCAGATGCATTGCCGGGAGGTTGCGCGAAGATGAGGCAATCACGCCCGAGAGTGGAGCGAGAGATTCGTCGGCGGCCTTGCGAGGGCTGTTAAACGCGTCACGAGTGCGGCGCAGTGAGCAGTGGCTTTCCGTATTTGAAGAAGAGGAATAGATTCGACGGACATTGGGTCTGGTTGCGGCATGGTCATGACGGATAGGGGAGATGTCTGGTCTTGTGTTCTGTTGGCGTGCGATGAAGGCCAGATATAACGGCCACAGAGCTAGAGTTGCAAACGGCACCAGAGACGCGCAGTGTCATTCAGGCGAGCATGGCTGGGCAGCCCTCTGATGGAGAGAGTCGGCTTGCTCTCCAACCGTGTACGGCTACAATCAGGGGGCTTACAATGAGCAAATAGCGGGGCAGGACCCGTTCAACAGGGCGTGTGGGCCAGCATCGCTGGAGCAAAGGGGCTGGGGCTTCTCAGTACTTTCTCTTGTGGCGCTGGTGAGTGGAATGACCGCAAGTATGTTCTGCGTGAGTTAGAAGACATGGAAGAACGTGCCGGGACATTTGATTCAGAGTTTCCAGAAATTAGGGCGGTTGTTGGCTGCGTTCTGGAGGACGTGTCAAATCTGGCCCCGGGAATGAATGCGTTTGTTGGACTACTTTCTCGTCCGTCTTTCTACTTCAAATCAATATTAGTTACTACCCTTCGAAGAGTATCTTCGAGTCTTGCGTCCTCTCGTCGCCAAAGATGCAAATATACCAGAGCAGAATGTTATACAAGTAATGTTATAATATAAAATATATGTTGCGTAGCTATGACTTTGTCATCCTCAAAACAGCGAATGGAAGACCCTGAATCCTTGTACTTGTACTTGTACCTGTGCTGTACAGGACATGGTGTGGAAAGAAAACGTGCTGAACTCGCACTCAAGTGCGAGTCTCTCGTCTTGAAATGGCTTCGAAGGGTGCACCCTCGGCGTTGTCTTCTTAATGTAACGGAGGCACAATATCTCATACAGCGGGGTACTGGCAAGCTTGACAACGAGGATGTGACGTCATGTTGTTGCCGCCAACATCACGTCGACAACTGTGACAACTGGATAGTGCAGTTCACCGCCTCGACGAGATTGGCGGGAAATTCAAAGACGCTGCGCTCTTAAAAATGTGGATGAAAACAACACAGTCAAGCCGTGCAACATTGGAGATAGGTCATGCAACGCACTTCGTCACACAGGGTTGCTCCTTCTTCTTCACACTTGAAGAAATCCCACGCCACAGCTCAACGTCTTCTCGCGGATACCGTCACGATCATTTTGTAGAAAAGAAACAAGAAACTCCCATGTCACAGGGTCTCAACAGGAGCGGCGTTCCTCCCACCTGACGACGAAAATAATGCTCAGTATAGGTTCAAGTTCTGTCAGATTTCCACAGAGACAGGAGGCTAAAGAAGAAAACAAACGTCGCAGAGGTCCGCTCCTCTTTAGCGAAACCCGATTTGAACGCATACTATGTACGTCCAATCAACACACAACAAAGGAATCGCACGATATGCACACCATGCTTCTCCTCACACGATTTTTGTTCCTCTTGTTTCGTTGCCGCACCAGCCGTACCCCCCAGACTCCAGTTCGGCCTGCTTCGCTGGACGAGTGAGTTTGACGTCTGCGACAAGGCTACGTTGCTCGGCAAAGCCCTTGACGTCATGGTTGCCTTGTATTGTGAACTGTTACTACAGCTATCAAAAACATCAGCGTCACGCGAGCGGTTCATACAAGCCCCTACTGAATTCATGGTTGCACCTATGTACTATTGCGATCGACTTCTTGATGGGATTGTGCATTCCATCGCCGACGTAAGAAAAAATATCAACCGCCTCAACGAAGAGCTTGGCACGCTTCACGTAAAATGCTTGCAGAACCGCAATGCAGCGCAAAAGGTGTGCCAAGAGGTTGAGATGGACGCGAAACCTGAAATGGATACATTTATCGAAGAAAGAAAGGCAAAGTAAGTATACGCGTAGGGCGCAAACGACTAGACGTTTACATGCGCGATCCTGTGCTTAGTACCCCCGTCCTTAGGATATATGTCTGACAACCCTAAGTCACAGAGTTGCGGTATTTCGAGAGCTGTCGGAGAGAATTCGCAGCGTGCAGAGTGGAGAAAACATGTATCGCTTTCTCGACAAGCCATGGTGCCATTCGTCAGCAGTTTGTTCGCAACTTGCCACCCAAACGACAACAGCTCTCCCCGCGACGTCGAATCGGAAGGCATATGAAAAGGGGCCTCCAGAAGAACCCAGGAAAATGGACAGTGAAACCACTGACAAGGAACAGGCGGATCGGAACACCGAGGACTGTACTCCAGAAAATGCCGGACCGAGGCAACCTGTTGCAGGCTCTCTACACTTGCCGCAAGAGCTATCGGTACCGGAGACACCAGAGCGGCCGCGTCCACTGAATTCTGCTGAACCCCCTGTTACGCAGGTTTCTTCCCCAAGAAAAACGAGAAGTCTATCGAGCAGGAAACGAGCTAGAGAGGCAAAAGCTCATGTTGAAGATCCGCCCGTTGCAAGAAACTTAATCCAACGTGCCTTAGAGTCGAGCGAAACGGATACTCCCCCGGGGCCAAAGACCGCTAAGAAAGGATCAAAAAAGTCTCATCTCGCCGAAACAGTGGCTATAGAAGCACGCCGCGAGGGCTCCAAAAAGGGCAAGGACCATGTCATGAAAGACGACGATGAGGAGGATCCACGGGATTTTGAAAGGGACAAGACCCGTTAAAGAAGACGACAATCGGGGCTTCAAAGTGGCCAAACAGTTAGTGATTTACAAAAGGCCATTTCTCCAAAGCTACTGCCAGACAAGGCCGTCTCAAGCGATAGCCAATAAATACAAGAAGCGACGACTTCATGGGCGACCCGCCTCACGCTTTCCGAAATAGAATTTGTCGCGCACTTGCTTCGCATTCTGCCATGTTTGGGTAAGCTTTTCTGGCATTGCTCGGCGCCGATGCCATGTAATTATTGTTACTGCGACATTTTTGAAGTCATGAACGAGGGAATCTCATGACCCATTCACGTTAATTCTAGCACTGCATTCGCGAAACTGTAGCACTTCTTCACGCGACCGCTTCTCTACATTCCCCCCTGAGGTGCGTCTACAACCGGCTGCGAATTTTCCTTGGCAGAAGAGTGAAAGTGATCATGAATCTTCTTTGCCAAGGCGGGTCCTATCCCTGTAACCATTTTGAGTTCCTGTTCAGAGGCTTGCGCGACAGCTTCCGAGCTGCCCTTGAAGTGCTCCAAGAGTACCGCACGCTTAACAGCCCCAAGACCCGCAATCGAGCCGAGCCCCGAGGTCAACACTTGCTTTCCTCGACGCCGACGGTGAGCCCTGACAGCAGTACGATGAGATTCGTCTCTGATCCGACAAACCAAACGTATTCCATCATTCATAAAGTGCGTCTGTCTCTCGTTGTCAAAATTGATACTCTGCGATTTCCCATGCACAAATATCTCCTCCTCACCCTTGGCAATGCTGATAACGGGCAAAATATCCTTCAGTCCGACTTCCTCCAACGCATCAGCTGCAGCGCTCAGTTGGCCCTTACCACCATCTATGACTAACAGGTCTGGAAGTGAGGAAGATGCAAGGGCATTTGACATGCTTCCGACAGGCAAATTCCGAAATCTCCTCCTCAGAGTTTCGCGAATTGATTCAAAGTCATCGGGATGCCCCATTGATGAGGAATCATCATTGAGATAGTATCGGCGGTACTCTGCAGGAGCCGGCAAACCGTCTAGAAAAACGACCATAGATCCCACAGCGTTGGATCCGCCCGTGTGGGAGATATCATACCCTTCAATTCGATGCAGAGGCACAGTGAGCGATTCAATCTCAGAAGACCGAGTTTGTGTTGCCTGATCCACATGCGCTTCATGGCCTCCCGCGTCCGCCCGGTCAATGTTTTCCGTTCTATTGCTACTCGCAAGATGGGGAAAGTACGAACTCAGAAAATTCGATAGATCCGTCACATCACGATAGACATCTAGAGCTCGTTGCGATTCCAGCCGCAGCTCAGTATCGGCATTATGCTGCACAATACGCATCAAGGAGGCGGTATTCGACCCCGGCAACCGTATCGAAACGGCCTTGCCTCTCTTTTCCGAAAGCGCCTGCTTCAAAACATCGGCATCAGCAACTGGACTACTGACGACGACCTCCTCGGGAATTTCCATGGGATGCGCGGCCCCCGCATAATGCGATGTAAGCACGGCGTTGAGCAACTCGCCTGTCGCCGACGCGCCCTCATGCGGCACGACCGAAAAAACAAGCCTCGAAATCACCTTGCCGCCGCGAACCTGAAACAAGACGACCTTGCCCGCAACAACCGAATGGGCAATACTGAAGACATCACGCGAAACAAACGGGTCCATCGCGACAATACTCGCGGCCTCCTCCGCCTCGCGGACAAGCTGGCGTCCCCCGGGCTGTGCGACGTCCTCCCCTAGACCGTGGGCGTAAAACACGCGCTCGATAGTAGCAATGCGATCGCGACACTCGGCCGCTCGTTCATAATGCATAGCAAGGGACAAGGCGTTCATCTCCTCGCGCATCTCCTCGACAACTTCCTCGACCCTGCCCCGGAGCAACTTATCGACCTTGGCAATCGTCTTGCCGTAATCTTCGGGCGGGATGAGCTCCTGACATACGCCCGGGCACCTGCCGAGGTCGTAGTTGATGCACGGCCTGTCCGCAAACAATCTCCGCGGGCGCTGTCTGAGCGGAAACACCGAGTGAATACAGGCCAGGACCTGTCGCAACCTGTGCTCATTCGCAAACGGCCCGTACAGGGCGTCCTCCTCCCTCTTCTTCCTGCGGGTCCTCGTGACGACGATGCTGGGGTAGGTGTCGGAAAACGTGATGAGGGCGTACGGATGGCGACGGTCGTCCTTGAGCAAGACGTTGTACTTGGGGCGATGCTCTGCGACGAGGGCGGCCTCGAGCGCGAGG